TAATTTTATCCTAATTTGATGTTTTGTAGTTAGGTTGCATCCCTGCTCTTTGTGTAGCCTATTTCAAATAGTATTTGGTCTTCAAGACTTCTGGATTTCTTCTCTGGATGTAAACAAATGGATCATGGACTTTCAGGAGGAACGGAACTACAAGATCACCCTAGAATCTAGATCTAGAATCTAGATCAAGTCAAGCTGTTGTCCGTTATATTGTTATATACTATTATTATAAGGATTCTACACCTATGATGATTATGATGCGAACCGACACCAGCAGAAAAAATTTGAACATTAACTGTCAAGTTTTCAAGTTCTAGATCTAGAGATCTAGATCTAGATCTAGAATCTAGATCTAGATTTTTAGTTGTGGATGTACAAAGGGAGAAAGCATGGCTTTGGATTTGGAAATGGAAGTGTATTCAGACCTGGTAACGGGAACAAAGTCACGAAGTATACAGACCTGGTAGGGGAACTCGTGTGATTTCGGAAACTTTCAGCGCCCAGACCCGGTAGTGTGTGTGTGTGTGTGTGAGTTAGAGAGAGAGAGAGAGGAGAGAGAGAAGGGGAAGTGCTAGCAAAATGTATATGACATGCCCCAGTTGACAGGAGGGAACAAGAGATAGATAGAGTGGAAAACAGGTGGGGGGGAAAGAAAGACAGACAAACATTTCAAACAAAGAAAAAGAGAAGGTGAGCGATACAGAGAGACAGAGGAGAGAGAAATAGAGAGGGTGACTGTTCGATTGAAATTATGACATTGTTCTTTTCTTCAAATTGTGATTCCTCCAACTCCAAAACGGGGGAAAAACGATCGTTCATCGAAAAGACATCCGCAATCTTCATTTAGATTTAGATCTAGGCTAGCCTCGAAACTAGATCAATGATTTATATCTGTCTGTCTAGATCTAGACCTAGGCCATAGATCTAAAAGATCCTAGATCTAGTTCTACCCTAAGCCAAGAGGACGCTGAAAGTTTCCAAAATCACAAAAGAGTTCCCCTACCAGGTCTGTATACTTTGTGACTTTGTTCCCAGTTACCGGGTCTGTATACACTCCCTTTGGAAATATATGGATTAGGCTCTAGTTATTGGCACAGGGTGTGTGAATACTACAAAATGTTATTGGCACAGGGTGTGTGAATACTACAAAATATTATTGGCAAAGGGTGTGTGAATACTACAAAATGTTATTCGCACAGGGTGTGTGAATACTACAAAATGTTATTGGCACAGGGTGTTTCAAAAGAAGGATGGAAATTATCTAGATCGAGCATTTCCTCATTTGTCCTTTTTTCATCCTCTTTCGCGTAGGGACAAAGATCATGGATCACAAGATAGTTGGCTCCTCTTTTTGAGCCAAATAAAAAAGTGTTCTCAGAATTTGGTGGCGCCCTATTTCGAAAAAGTGCGGACTTTGCAAACAGACCCTACTTGGACTTTTGTGTGAAAAACAATAACAATAAAATTAACAGACTGTGCTTATCCTTATATTCTTCTTCTGGGGAAAGGAAAGAGCTTCCAAACAAAGAGTCTAGCGCCATCTGAAGCAATGCGCTGACTTCTGCGAACACTTTTCGGGCCGAGTGAACAATCTTGTATCTATCTTTGGTAGGTCCTGGATAGATCTAGATCATTGTGCAATGCGATACAAAAAAACCCAACTCAAATTGGAATTCAAGTTGTACATTGTGTCAATGATTATAATGACTCGACTCAAATCTCTATTTTTTTCCTTTTTTCTGTTTTCCTTGCACTATAGAGAGAGAGAGAGAGAGAGAGAGAGATGAGTGCATGCTTACTTTCTCCCTAAATCTGAAACAAGTTATATTTATACTAGATCTGGATATAATCTAGATCTAGTGTCCAGTTGTTTTAACATTTAAAATCTTTGCCAAAAGGTGGGATACCCGGGGGTGACAAACGAGGTCCAAAATCAACGTAGGCTCGACCCTGTACGAATAAAATTATTTCTTATGCCCACACCCGGTGTGAATAATCACACAAGCAGAAAATTATGTAGGCCTAGATCTCTATGCAAGGTACGTTTTTTTTCTCACTTATTTTCTCATTAAATTTAGGTTTGAATAGCCAGAAATGACATACTTAGGATGCCCTGAAACCAAAAATTCTCAAACATAAAGGGGACGCTGTCCCCCTTCAACCCCCTGCCAGGGAAATGCCCTTGAACCGAAAATCCTCGCAAAATGACATGAGAGCTGCTGGAAGCTCTGCTAATAGTTGGTAGGTCATCCCCAGTATTTTCTAGATTGTCCCTATTATTTGTTAGCTCATCCCCAGTATTTTCTAGATTATCCCTATTATTTTTTAGCTCATCCCTGATAATTTTTAGCTCATCCCCAGTCTTTTTTTTGGTTATCCGTGATATTTTCTAGCTCATCCAGAATATTCCTCATAATAGTTTAGCTCAACTTTAGTATTTGTTATTTTACCCCTAATAGATTATTTCTAGCTTATCCCCAGTATTTTCTAGATGGTCCCTGTTGTTTTCTAGATCATCCCTATTAACTGTCCCCGGTATTTTCTAGGTCAGCACTAATATTTTTCTGATTATTCTTTATAAATTTTTATCTAGATCTAGCTCATACCCATTATTTTTTAGATTTAAAAAAATCTTTTCTAGCCCATTCCCAGTGTTTTCTAGATCACACCTATTATTTTTTTTCAGCTCATCCCTAGCTAATAATTTTTATTTCATCGCCAGTATTTCTTAGGTTATCCCTAATATTTTTTAGCTCATCAGCAGTATTCTTTTTAGCTCATCCCTAATATTTTTCTAGCTTATCGCCTCTAGTTTTTAGCTCTTTTGTAATATTTTATAGCTCATCCTAAGTACTTTCTAGATAATTTGTAATTTTCTTTGCATCATCCTCACTATTTTTTAGCTCATCCCCAGTATTTTATAGATGATCCCTATTATTTTCTAGCCCATCACCAGTATTTTCTAGATTTTTTTTTTTTTCTAGCTCATCCTCAGTATTTTTTTTTAGCTCGCCACTAATAGTTTCAAGCCGTCCCCAGTATTTTCTTATTATTTTCTAGTTCATCCCTATTTTTTATACCATCCCCAGTATTTTCTAGGTCATCCCTATTATTTTCAATCTCATCTCGAATATTCCCCAGTATTTTTAGCTCATCCTCACTATTTTCCAAAAGTAGTGTCTATGTTCTCTAACGTTAGAGAACGTATATATATACAAGTTGTCTACGTTCTCTAATGTTTGTAAAGAGCCTAAAAATAGCTCGCTCGCTCTGTCTAACATGGAAACGAGTCGACATTGCTGCTTCCACAGTGCTTCCACTTTATTTTCGTAGGCTATTAAGTTTACTTTCGCGAAATTAAAATGTTCGCGAAAGAAAGCTGTCTACAGTACCGCATCTTGCCTTTACAGCGACGTTAAACCCCTAACAAGCAACCAACACTTTCTATCATTCCCTCGAGATGACACCACCA